ACTGAGATGCTGATCTAAGAACCTTTATCAGAGATCTGACTTGGGAGTAGATCCAAAGACCTATTCTGAGCCCTAGTTCGGGGAACTAGACTCAGTATATACCCTGGAATCTGTCTCAGGAATCCAGGCTTAATATCTAGTCTGAGTTCAAGCATAGGGATCCCAGCTCAATATCTGATTCTGACCCAGGTCGCTAGCCTACAGGAGGTTGTCACACCAGAACTTCTGTCAGAAACAGATCCCAATCATAGGCCAGGCTTTCTTACCAGGATATAGTCTGCCCTCGAGTCCCTGGCAAAGGTCAGGGCTTCCTGCTTCAGCTCCATCAGAAACTGGTGCCTTTCTTTGGTCCAGTGCTTGGGACCCTCTTCGTCTGGGTAGGGCCTGAGGGATAAAGAGATGAGATGTCCCGTGGGGTAGGTGCCTCCTCTCTGCAGGGCAGTGGACAGAGCCCTGGCCGGGAGCCTGTGGCTTGGGCTGGCCCTTTTTCTCTCTGGGCTGCAGCTCTTGCCTATCCCCCCGCCCCCCACCAGTTCACCACCTGGGCTCCCCCTCAGGCCTCCAGACCACGGCTGCATAGTCATTGCCCACAGCGGCCAGCCACTCCTGCAGCATCTCCGTGGTGTTGTCCACGTTGTGGTCCGTGGCACACCTGGGGACACAGGAGGAAGAAGGGTGGGACACAGGAGGAAGAAGGGTGAAGGGGGTGCAGCCACAGAAGAACCAAACCCCGAGGCAGCCTTGCCCCCCGAGCAGCAACACCTGCGAGGCTGGCTTCTCCTAGGAGCCTGGCGGTAGGTATGCTGCAGAGGAGGGGCTGCAAGCAGGCAGCCAGGTGCCCATCACAGGTCTGCCTGCCCCTCTCAGGGCTTCACCTGCTGCCTCTCTGACTCTAGGAGGACCCAGCAGGCCGAGGGAGCAGAGCTGGAGCGCCTTTCGGAAGATGGACAGTACCTCGGCCTTGAAGAACACACCTGCACGCGCCTGGGTACCTTCCTTCCTTGCTGTGTGACCAGTCAGCCCCCCCCACCCCCCACCCCCACCCCCCGAGTCGGGACGGGACAGAAGGGCTGCTGCTTCTCTCTGCTGGGAAGCTGTGAGAAGGCTCACACCACACGGAGTGTCTGAGAAGTGCGCACGGGCCCACGCTCGGCTGACACAGAACACGCTCCTCCTCTCCTGTGAAAGGGCCCCCATGACCGAGTCGGGGGAGGGGGCTCAGACAAAAGCCAGGTTTTAGGGGACACTGTCCCTTTAAGCCAATTCCCCAGAAATGAAGACTAACTACGTGTCAAGTCCCGTAGGGGTGGGAACTATGAGCTCCCAAAATGTGGTAATTGTGGGCGGCCTCCCCAGGCCACGGCTCCACCCCAGCCCGAGTGCGGTGTGTTGTGAGGGGTAGTTTGTCCTTTCCCTCCATTTATCCCCAACCTCAGCTTGGGACTCCTCCCTGTTCTGGCTGCCACAGGCCGTGGCCGCTGAGTCCAGTGCCTTGTGGGGACACCTGGGGGCGGCAGAGCAGAGGGGGCTCTGCCATCCGCTGGCAGGACCAGCCCGGCGGGCGGGGGCGCAGGTCTGACTCCCCTGCAGAGCAGTCTGGAGCCAGGGCTGACTGCACCCCCACTGCCCCCCCAGGAACCCCCAGTCCTGCTGATGCCGGCCACCCCGGGCCCCAGAGGATGTCTGCTATTACCGCTGCTCCCTCCACGTCAAGCAACCACAGGTCCCCTGGGGTGGAGTGTGGGCACTGACAGCAAGAGGGGCCCAGCCCAACTTACACCCGGAGGAGGTGGCAAGAGGGGGAGCAGGGGCCAGGGTGGGTGTCCTAGGGTCAGACCACGGCCTCAGAGGTCAGTCTGCAGGGCCAGGGGCTGAAGAGGGCCTGTCTGCCCGGGGAGGAGCCTGCCTGGGCGGTGTCCGGACTGGGCGCAGACGGCCTCATCTGGAGCTGGGGGCGATGCCCAGTGGGTGCCAAGGCCCGGGTCTCTCACCAGAGGGTCAGCCGGGCCCGGGGGTAGTCCAGCCGCTCCAGCGCGCCCAGGTAGTGGGGTAGCGAGTGCCCGGCATTGCGGGCCAGGATGGCAAGGACCACGGCGGGCGGCGGCTCCGCGAGGCCCGTGACCTGGAGCCGCGGCTTCAGCAGGAGCAGCAGCGGGAGCAGCGGGGCGTCGCGTGCAGCGCGCATGGCGAGCGCTTCCGGCGGTTGCGCGGCCCCCCAGGGCTCCGGGCCCCGCCGAGGGGAGTGGCGGCGCGGCTGGGCTCGGGCGGGGCCAGGGGCCGGGGTTGGGCCGTGCCGGCCAGAAAGGGATGGGGGTAACGTACCCCCCCAAATGGGGGTCCACTCC